ACTGTATCTCCATGGATAACTTTGAGATTTCCTTTACTAGATGAGAAGTTGTAACCCTTCAAGTCTAGCAATCAATATCTAAATCTAGATCTTTGTATAATTTTCTCTAATAATCCAATATTTCAACAATTTTTTCATATTCAGTCCAGCCTGTTCAGTTTTTGCAAACTAAGTTTGAATCATACTTTCAGTATGTGGCATGATTGGCTCTTTTTCTTTATACAAAATACATTCTTAATGGTTTTCTATAGACCTCTTTATGTGTGAGTTCTTGAAGGATAATCAGATTTTCATTTTCATTTTTTATTTTTCTTCTCCCTTCTAATGGTTTGTTAGTTATGTATGGGATATGTGTGCATCTGAGTTTAGATATCCATAACTATACGTGAATGTATATATATTTATATTCAACTCAACAAGCCTTGTGAATGTATGTGTGTGCATATATGTATATAGCAAACATATGAATTATTTTTGTGGGATTTTTTTTAGACTGTACAAAATGGTCACTGGCTAACAAGCTGGAAGACATTTAAAAATTCTGTGCTTTTATATTTTTAAATAACAGTTATCTAACGTACTATGTTTTGACTTTGGTTGACTTTGATCTGTTAATTTTCCTGCTTGTTGAAGGGTCTAGATTTTGAAACAATTTCTATATTATTTCTAAACCAAACTAAGCGATTGTCCCAATCAAGTGGCGTTGGCTACATGAATCTTTTTTTGCACTTGAAAGTTGACATCTCCATATATGGTATTTTCTATAATATTTCAAGGATGAATAATTTTTATACTTCTATTTTGCTATACAGGAAAGCCCTAGGTATTGAAGGTGTACTCTAACCTAGCCCAGGCATTTGTCAACCCACATACTGCAGAAGGTAGTGAGCAGTTTGGTCAGCGCATATGGGGGATTCTGCAAAAGAAAATTTTCAAAGCAAAGGACTATCCAAGAGGAGAATCTGTGCAACTATCTATGCTCGAACCTCTGTTGGAAAAGAACTTGAAGTTGGCATCAAAACCATTTAAGAAAAAGAAATCTGTTGCCAATCCATCAAAGAAGAAGCAATCAGCCTCTTGGAATCGACACAAGATAATAACATCCCTAGCTCAGAATTCAACATTTTGGATTCTGAAGATCATTGATTCAAGAAAGTTTCCTGAATCTGAGTTGCAGAAGGTTTTTGATATTTTCCGTGGTGCTTTGGCAGCGTTTTTTGAAAGTAAAAAGTCTCAAATGAAGGCAGAGTTTTTGAAAGACATATTTAGAAGAAGACCGTGGATTGGTCATCATCTCTTTGAATTCCTTTTGGAGAAATGTTGCTGTTCAAAATCAGAGTTTCGGAGAGTTGAAGCGCTTGACTTGGTGATTGAAATACTCAAATCACTCATCTCTGTTAGTACTGATGAAAGTGGACGGGCTGTATCAAAGAAAACTTTGAACAGTCATCTTCCCAAACTGTGTCATTTGATAAAAGAGTTGGTTACAAATATGCCAGAAAAACAGGCTAGACGGGCTGAAGTGCGTAAGTTCTGCAGCAAAGTCTTCCAGATTATAACAAGTCTTAACCTGTCTAAATCATTTCTTAAATCTTTGGAATCAGATGCACATGCCACTTGTGCATCGCAACTTGGTGAGGTGTTTCTTGCTTTGAAGAAGCGTTAACAGGCTTAGCCAAGGGGGTTGAGGTTAAATTCATTTGAATTATTGGAAATAAAATTCAATTTCCAATGACACTGCTGCAAGGCAGAGGTCAGCAAGATACCAATAAGGGTTTTCGACTTTCATCTCAAAGAGAATTCTTACTTGCAGAAACACTTCTGGGCATGCCCTCTGACGGCTGCTCTAATGCTGCACCTGTGATCTTCAATGGTTCCAGATTTCTCTACAAGAAATTATCTTGGTAAGTTATTATATTGACACCTTTATCGTTATTCTAGCAGGGTGTTTATACAGGAAGAGTTTCGTCATAGTTGGTGCATTTCGTGTTTTGTAATTTATTTTGGCTTTTTGAATTGGTAACGATTGATCATCGTGTAGCTTTTGGACTCCGAATCCAACAAAAAGAAAAAGAAAAAAGATGTTAATGTAGCTTTTGCTTGTTACCGAGCATTGTAGCATGCTGTAGTCTTCTTGTTGATGATCAAAAGTAGTCTGTGTACTTTTTTGGTGACTTGTGAGATTAGGTCTGGACATTTTCTATGGCAACTTTTATCAGAGATATAAGTTCCCATTTGGAGATTTTTTATGAATAGTATATCATTGTATTTTTGAACAAAGAAATCTAAATGCTTTCACTAGAATTGCTTCTCACATGATTAGTACCCACTACATCCACTGAATTTGTTCAGTCCAAATGAGATTCTGACCGGTAAGAATTTTCAAAAATCGGTCAGAGTCTCATTTGGGCTGAACAAATTTGGTGGACGAATTATTAATCGTTTTTGCATATGTAGTGGTATCTCCACTTCGTCCTCTTAATTGGTTGCATTTTGACTGAGGTAATTTTGCTCCTTCAATGTCTTCTGTATTTTGATGGGAAGATGGATGAGACATGGGAGATCCTAAGCATTTTTGGAAGGATTATATATTTTTGGATAAATGTGTATGGAAAATATTTCGATAGACTAGTAGTTATATTTTTGGATGGGTGTATATGGAAAATATTTGGGTACACTACTAGTTATATTTTTTGATAGATGCGCATGGATAAAAATTTAAAACATAATAACAAGTACTTGTTATGTTTTAAATTTTTATGCTAGTCAGGACGTGAATCGAAATTTTAATTGGAGGAATATGTACTTTGAAATTACTTGTGGATGGGAACTTATAATAGTTGCTGACTTTTATTAAATAGGTTTAGGATTGGATGATTTATGTATTTGTTGAATGCTCATGATTCAAATACTTTGTAAGTATGAATGATTCTTTTAATTACAGATTATATTGAATGGATTGGATGGAATATTTGTCTTCAATTACAGGTTTATTTTGTTGGATGTTGGTGGCCAAAATGTTGGCAACTAACATGTTTGGTCGTGGAATGTGACTTTTGGCAGCTAATCTATTGGTCGTGGATTGTGACTTTTGGCGACTAACATCTTTGGTCGTGGAATGTGACAATTGGCGACTAACATGTTTGGTCGGGAATATGTCACTTTTCGTGACTAAAGTGTAAAGTGTGGAACAAGGTGGGCTTGGCATTAGACGAGTTAGAGAGGTCAATGATAGCTTATTAATTAAGTGGTGGTGGAGATTTGGGGTTGATAAGGAAACTTTGGGGAGGAGGGTAATCTGTAGCAATTACAACCTGGAGTTGCATAGCTAGGTTCCATCATTTAGATCTAGTAGCAGGTATTCTTGTGTCTGGAAAGACATCATATCTTTAGCAGATTGCAGAAGCAGTTTAATGGAATTCTTTTTGAACAACCTGATTATAAAGGTCGATGATGGATCTACAGTCTAGTTTTGGAAAGACAAATGGTGTTTGAATGTGTGTTTGGAAAAAGAGTTCCCTGTTCTTTTTAGATTGGTAGTTGACAAAGAAGAATCATTTAGATCAATGTATGAGAAAAGAGATGGTTCATCCAATTGGATATTCAATTTCCGAAGGAAGCTGTTTGACTGGGAGTATAGGAAGGTCTCCAAACTCACTGATTTGGTTTTGGCTTCTCCTAACATCAGTTTTGATCAAACTGATATGCTATCTTGGGCTGCCACAAACTCAGGTGTGTTTTCAGTATTGTCTATATACCAATTTTTTGAACACTCTTTTGGTCCATATCTGTTAACCAACAAGTTTGTATGGATTAAGTACCTCCCACCCAAATTTCAATTTTTCTATTGGCTTTCTTGGAAAAAGAAAGTCAAAACCTCTACCTTTCTCCATAGAATTGGTGTACTACCTGCTAGTGCCTCAACACTCTATATATTTTGTAAAAAGGAGATTAAATTAGTGAATCATTTACTGTTGTACTGCCCATTTGCTTGGAGTGTATGGTCTCATATGTTGAGTTGGTGGGATTTACAAGGGGTCTTCCCAGGAACAATTGATAACTTATTACTATGGTGGGATGGTGTTAGTCTAAACAAGAGGGAGAGAAAGATTTGGAGAGCTATTCCTCCTACTGTGTTATGGTCTTTATGGAAACATAGAAATGATTGTGTGTTCAATAATTCTTCACCAAATCTACCTGAATTATGTGAAGAGGTCAAGATTAGAATTGCTATTTGGTTAAAACCAATCCTCAAGGAGTATCACTTTATTGTTCATGATTTTATTTCTAATCTTAGAGGCATCAGATATTGTTTGGGTGGAGTATGCATTAGTGGAGGTTGAGATGACCTTGAGTCTTTGGAGTGTGGCCCGGAGCTTGGTGCTGTTTTCTGGTGTGTTCTACTATGTATTGTTGTGGTTTGGCCTTGATTTCTCTAGAGTGTGGTTTGCATTGGTGTGAGGTTTTCTGGGCTTATAAGGAGGCAACCTTGCTACTGGGTGGGAAGATTGGGCTCAAGGACTGGGGTTTATGAACTGTAGATGAGGTATATGTGTGAAAGTGTACATTAAACCAGCAGGTTCAATATTGCATTAGGAATGGGAGCTGAGTTATCCATATGTCAGTTTGTATAATTAGCTAAACTTTTCATATGGGAGCAGTATTCACTGAAATCTGTATAGATGGCTGAGGAGGGTAGCTACTGTGATGGTGCTTGTTGTTGGTGAGTTTGGCTGCTGTTTTTGGGTGTTTTGCTTCTTGGCTGATACTGATGGCTACTTCTGGATTGCTTTGCTTTGGTGAAGTTTTGTATCAGAAATGGCTCAAGTTTGGTGGCATAAAACAATTGCTTGGTTAGGTATAGGGGGTCTCTAGAATTTAACTCTACTGCTATCACTCTGCTGTTAATTCTCTGCTTTTTGTTTTCTGCTGTTAAGATTTTTTTAAGCACTTCACTAGTCTTTGGCTGCTGCTATTTTTGTTAGCTGCTGGTGTTGTATGATGTTGCTGCTGTTTTATGGTAAAGGTATGTGTCTAAGGTCTACTAAAAGACTTGGTGAAAGGTTGCTGATCTGGTCTGGTCTGTTCAGAGGATTGGTCTGGTCTATTTTTGGCCTACTGTATGCTACTGGTTTGTTTGATTGGTCTAGTCTGTGCAGGAGGCATCTGTGCAGCTAGAAAGGAGTTGAAATGTTGATGCACTGGTTTTTGCTCTGTTAATGATGGTTTTGTTGTTTTGTTTTTTGTTCTTCTCATTCCTTTAGTTCCTTTTGATTGATTTCTCACCAATCTTTGGTCAAGTGTTTGCAAATGATTGTGCTTCCATAGCGGTGCCAACCTAGTTGGGATTGTTAAGGTTAGCATTGATGCTCTTTGCACTTCCTACTTTGTTGATGTAAGCTTTTGCATGTATTGTTTTCTTCATCAATAAAGTTTCATTTTGCTGATCAAAAAAAAAAAAAAGAGTGGTGCTACATCCCCTAATAATATATCATCTCCATATTGACCTCTAATGAGATGGAAGAGAGAGATAGAGAGCGGAGGAATGAGGAGTGTGAGTCCCTCTTCATATGGTCATTCCATGTCATTGTGGGTGGATTAGGAATGCTCAATTAGAGCTTTCAAATATTTTTCTTATAATAATAATAAGGAGAAAAGGAAAGAGAAAAACATGGCACACCATATCTACTTTCATTCTTATGCAGTATTTTGTCAAACTTAATAATTTTGGGTTGAAAATATACCAATTCTTTGAGAAATATTTTCTAAATGATTTACCGATTTTATATAATTCTACTAACAAATAGATTTGGTAAAAAATCAATTGAAAATTGTAACGCCCTCAAAATAAACCCATAATTCAAACATTCATGATACAAGAAATTGACAATATATTCAAGAGGATAAGGTGTACATCTATTTATCAGAGTATTTATCACAAAAGTATTACATATTGACAACAAAAGTAAATGCCCTACGGGCTTACAACTTTCCAAGCCAACACTTGGTTACAAAAAAAAAGTACTAACTCATATACATTAAGCCCTCGGCTTGAATTTACATGTAATACACAAAAAGGTAAACAACAAAAAGGGATCTTCATCCTGTAAGCCTCCCAAGCTATGTCCTTGGAGGTGGCATATCACCTGAACCTGAAAATGATATCCCATATAGGGTGAGCCAATGCCCAGTAGAGATATACTAAACCAAGTATGAGAAATAACTAAAACAATAGCATTTGATATATGGTTGACACTTATAAACCAACTTATAACACTTTCCAATTCAACATCAAGTACATCCATTTTTCATTTCAGTTTCCTTCACTTATGCAGTTTCGATTCATAATTATGGCTCAGAACCTGACCAAACAATTCAATGAGACTTTAACACATATTAAAACACTTCCATACTTCACAATTCACATGAGAATATACCTCATATTAAAACACTTCCATACTTCAACACTTCCATATTTCAAGTGATACACAGATTTGCTGTATCAGTGGAGTCCATCCCCTATCTCCTCCCAAACCATGGGGTACATCCCCTATCTCCTCCCAAACAATATACATATACAATGTATTTAAACACTTATCATATACAACGATCAATCAATACACACATTTGCTGTATTATTCCAACCGTCATATTCAATGACATATTCAATGTGATTAGTTTCAATTTTCCCTAATCATCATACAATGTCTACAACAATCAAGACTATCCTCCACCGATAGCCCAAAGCAGTTATCTCTAAACAGATAATAAATTTATTAACAGATAAAATATCAACATTTTCATAGGTGAGTGATTAAATTATCCAACTACATCATTTACTCCCATAATTTTTCAATTTCATGAATTTCACTTAAATTTCACATTTCTCCAAATTAATTATTCAACATAATTAGGGCATTTTTCCCCTTTTCTCAATATTAGCACAAAGGCTCAATTTCATCGATTTAACAACAACAATTTCATTTTTCAATGTCTCATACACACATAGGTTTTAACATTTGAAAACCCCCCCTTTTTTATAACCTCAAATCAAACCCTAACTTTCTCAAAATGACTAAGCAACACCATCTAATCAAAATGACCAAAATTTATGTTAAAACTCATAGAATAGAGTAGGTTATCCCTACCTTAATTTTCGAAGCTCAAAGGAGAAGAGAAGTGAAACTCAAAGTGCTCCAAATCCACAACTTTTCAGATTAAAGCGAAGCCCTTGCGAAGCTCTACCTTTCTTC